GTGATGTGTGTATGGGGTGAGCGCACTGCGGTACAAACCCGGCGACCCGAGTTCGATTGCCTCCCACGGTTAACAACAGTGGCGAATATCTGAACGGAACCTGGGCCTCCCCTAGGTCGACTCAGCCTCAAATAAGTACCTGGTGCGATGTATAAACATCGCCACTGGGGAGACAAAAGCGGCCGGGCGTGGTGTTGGCCACCCACCCCCTCGTGTACCGTTACGGGCCTTCATAGGTGCTCGCTAACAGCACTTGCCCCTATAGTCTGTTAAGGCTACACGGGGGATCTTTGTTTTGTGTGTGCAGTGCCGGTCTTTCATAGGTGCGTCAACAAGTCTGTTAAACGTCGCTTGCCCCAACAGTCTGTTGTCGAAGGCCGTGCCGGCCGTACCAGGGCTGGGTTGTTGGGTGGGGGAGGAGGGGATCATCCTTCTCGTCCGTGCCGATTTAATTCACGGTCCCCGTGAAAGGGGACGCGTCGCGTGTAGAGCGACCCCGGTCGTCGCTACACAATGAGAGTGTAGGGCCCTTCCTCTGCCCTGAGTGGAGGGGGGCGGGGGGAGGAGGAGAGGTGCAGGGGGGGGGGGGGTGCCGCGCGTTGCTTCACTGGACCGCACAATGCGCGGCAGTAAACAGTGGGCGAGTGGAGGGCACTTGAGAGAGGAGCTGCCGGGTTCCAAGCGATTCGTGTCATCATCTCCTTTATGCAGCCGAGCAAGAGAGCTCTCCCCACCCCCCCCCCCCCCCCCCCCCCCCCCCCCCCCCCCCCCCCCCCCCAATTGAGAGTCATTATCCCTTTGCGCAGAGGAAATCTGGCGACTGGTTACGTCTCACCAAGTAGACGCTGACAATGGCTCCACCACCACCACCACAACCACCATCACCACCATCACCACCACCACCACAACCACCACCACCATCACCACCACCACCACTACCACCACCACCACCGCCGCCACCACCACCACCGCCACCACCACCGCCGCCACCACCACCGCCGCCACCACCACCACCACCTTCGCCGCCACCACCACCACCGCCGCCACCACCACCACCGCCACCGCCACCACCACCACCGCCGCCACCACCACCACCTTCGCCGCCACCACCACCGCCACCACCACCACCACCACCGCCACCACCACCGCCGCCGCCACCACCACCACCACCGCCGCCACCACCACCACCACCGCCGCCACCACCACCACCGCCGCCGCCACCACCACCACCGCCACCACCGCCACCACCACCGCCGCCACCACCACCACCGCCGACGACGATGTGAGAGGTGGCGGCGGCTTGGGAGAGGCCTTCATCCAGCAGTGGATTTGATGATGACGATGGCGTTGCTTGCTGCAACTGCTGCTGGTGGTGCCGATTTGAGCAATGATGATGGCGATGATGAGTAGGGTGACAATGAATGGTGATAATGTTGACTATGGCTGCTTACAGCAGTGGCGTGGGTAGGGCCTTCATCCAGCAGTGGATTTGATGATGATGATGATGCCAATTAGGGTGAATATGAGGATGAGAACGACGATTATGCCTGATTACTGCGGTGGCATAAGGCCTTCATCCAGCAGCGGAGAGAATATCGCTGCTGTTGATGATGATGAGAGCTCGTTAGGAGTAAAAGTGTAATATTTGAACGTTCGAGATATGAATATAAAAAAACAACAATAACACTCCAATATAAATGATATATTATTATAAAGATTATATATCATTATTAGAGGTTATGAGGCTCACACACAAGACGTATGTTTGCTTTGAATGACCAAATAGATATCGATTCAAATACGATACATATATTTTTTGGGGGGGGCGTTAGGCGATGTAATGGTTGTGTCGTAATACCCTCCACCACCCGACACAGACACACATTGTCTTTACACAACCCTGGGAGGACGTCTTATCAGTAGCAGTGGTTAAAGGACAATCCAACGGGTTCATGTTTGTGGTATTCCCTTTTAATAGGCAGCATGTGGAATAATTTATTCGAGTACACCGAGGCATTCTAAATATATTTGTTGATTCTATTTTTTTATCACGGAGCAGGTAGGTGGCATCTGAATTGATTTACAGAAAGACGCTTCAGAAGCGTAAATTATCATGATTAATATTTTCCTCAAGGTAAAAAAAACCGCAATGTTTTGTCTATGCGTGTCTATGTGAGTCTACGGGTCTCTGTGTGAGTCTATGAGTCTCTGTGTGAGTTTATGGGTGTCTATGTGAGTCTACGGGTCTCTGTGTGAGTCTATGAGTCTCTGTGTGAGTCTATGGGTCTTTGTGTAAGTCTATGGGTCTCTGTGTGAGTCTACGGGTGTCTATGTGAGTCTACGGGTCTCTGTGTGAGTCTATGGGTGTCTACGTGAGTCTATGGGTCTTTGTGTAAGTCTATAGGTCTCTGTGTGAGTCTATGGGTGTCTATGTGAGTCTACGGGTGTCTGTGTGAGTCTATGGGTGTCTACGTGAGTCTATGGGTCTTTGTGTAAGTCTACGGGTCTCTGTGTGAGTCTATGCGTGTCTATGTGAGTCAACGGGTCTCTGTGTGAGTCTATGGGTGTCTACGTGAGTCTATGGGTCTTTGTGTGAGTCTATGGGTGTCTACGTGAGTCTATGGGTCTTTGTGTGAGTCTATGGGTGTCTACGTGAGTCTAGGGGTCTTTGTGTAAGTCTATGGGTCTCTGTGTGAGTCTATGCGTGTCTATGTGAGTCTACGGGTGTCTGTGTGAGTCTATGGGTGTCTACGTGAGTCTATGAGTCTTTGTGTAAGTCTACGGGTCTCTCTGTGAGTCTATGGGTGTCTACGTGAGTCTATGGGTCTTTGTGTAAGTCTATGGGTCTCTGTGTGAGTCTATGGGTGTCTATGTGAGTCTACGGGTGTCTGTGTGAGTCTATGGGTGTCTACGTGAGTCTATGGGTCTCTGTGTGAGTCTATGGGTGTCTACGTGAGTCTATGGGTCTCTGTGTGAGTCTATGGGTGTCTACGTGAGTCTATGGGTCTTTGTGTAAGTGTATGGGTCTCTGTGTGAGTCTATGGGTCTCTGTGTAAGTTTATGGGTCTATGTGTGAGTCTATGGGTGTCTACGTGAGTCTATGGGTATCTGTGTGAGGCTCTAAGTGTCTATGTGATTCTATGGGTCTCTGTGTAAGTTTATGGGTCTATGTGTGAGTCTATATGTCTCAGTGTGAGTCTGTGGGTGTCTATGTGAGTCTATAGGTCTCAGTGTGAGTCTGTGGGTGTCTATGTGAGTCAACGAGTCTCTGTGGAGTTTATGGATGTCTCTGTGAGTCTATGGGTCTCGGGCTAGAACCCATTTGAATCACAAGCAGCGGCTGAAACCCGCATTTCAACCCAGAATCATCTCGGCAGTGGTGGCTCAGAAAGCGTCTCTGACACGGCCATTCTGAACCTTCTGTGCCCCCCCCCCATCAGCTAATGACAGAGCTGTCCCCCTCCCCCACCCTCCCTCAATCACCGCAAGGTCGAGGGGTCAGAGTGCTTGGGGTCGCGGAGGGACCCATATGGCACAGGCCCCGTTGCATGCAAATCGAGCGGCAGTGCCACCTCCCCATGACGATGCCTCCGTCTGTCCCTCGTCGTGTGTCCGTGTGCTGTCTGGCTTCGCGGCGGCTTAGCTGCCTGTCCGTCTGTCTATTAGGCAGTGAGCGAATCTGTCGACCTGTCTGTGCCTAGCTGGCTTGGCTATCTGTCTGAACGTCTGCCTGACCCGCCCACCATGCCACTGGCTGATTGTGCATCCATCTGTCTGTCTGTCCATCCGTCTGTCTGGCTGGCTGGTGCGGTTGTCCGTCCCTGCGTATTATCAGTCAGTTTAGCAAGTCTGTCTGTCTGTCTCTCTGTCTGTCTGTCTCTCTGTCTGTCTGTCTCTCTGTCTGCCTGTCTGTTAGTGTCTCTGTCAATAGAAAATATGTCTGTCTGTCTCTCTGTCTGTCTGTTAGTGTCTGTCAATAGCAAGTCTGTCTGTCTCTCTGTCTGTCTGTCTGTTAGTGTGTCTGTCAATAACAAGTATGTCTGTCTGTCTCTCTGTCTGTCCATTAGTGTGTCTGTCAATAGCAAGTATGTCTGTCTGTCTCTCTGTCTGTCTGTCTGTTAGTGTGTCTGTCAATAGCAAGTCTGTCTGTCTCTCTGTCTGTCTGTCTCTCTGTCTGTCCATTAGTGTGTCTGTCAATAGCAAGTATATCTGTCTGTCTCTCTGTCTGTCTGTCTGTTAGTGTGTCTGTCAATAGCAAGTCTCTCTGTCTGTCTGTCTGTCTGTTAGTGTGTCTGTCAATAGCAAGTCTCTCTGTCTGTCTCTCTGTCTGTCTGTCTGTTAGTGTGTCTGTCAATAACAAGTATGTCTGTCTGTCGCTCTGTCTGTCTGTTAGTGTCTGTCAATAGCAAGTCTGTCTGTCGCTCTGTCTGTCTGTCTGTTAGTGTGTCTGTCAATAACAAGTATGTCTGTCTGTCTCTCTGTCTGTCTGTCTGTCTGTCTGTCTGTATGTTAGTGTGTCTGTCAATAGCAAGTCTGTCTGTCTCTCTGTCTGTCTGTCTGTCTGTTAGTGTGTCTGTCAATAGCAAGTCTGTCTGTCTGTCTCTCTGTCTGTCTGTCTGTTAGTGTGTCTGTCACTAGCAAGTCTGTCTGTCTATCTCTCTGTCTGTCTGTCTGTGTGTCTGTCAATAACAAATATGTCTGTCTGTCTCTCTGTCTGTCTGTTAGTGTGTCTGTCAATAGCAAGTCTGTCTGTCTCTCTGTCTGTCTGTCTGTCTGTTAGTGTGTCTGTCAATAGCAAGTCTGTCTGTCTGTCTCTCTGTCTGTCTGTCTGTTAGTGTGTCTGTCAATAACAAGTATGTCTGTCTGTCTCTCTGTCTGTCCGTTAGTGTGTCTGTCAATAGCAAGTATGTCTGTCTGTCTCTCTGTCTGTCTGTCTGTTAGTGTGTCTGTCAATAGCAAGTCTGTCTGTCTCTCTGTCTGTCTGTCTGTCTCTCTGTTAGTGTGTCTGGGGATGAGGTTGGGGATGAGGTTGAGGATGAGGTTGAGGTTGAGGATGAGGTTGGGAATGAGGATGAGGATGAGGTTGAAGATGAGGATGAGGATGAGGTTGAGGATGAGGTTGGGGATGAGGATGAGGTTGGGGATGAGGTTGAGGATGAGATTGGGGATGAGGTTGAGGATGAGGATGAGGTTGGGGATGAGGTTGAGGATGAGGATGAGATTGGGGATGAGGTTGGGGATGAGGTTGAGGATGAGATTGGGGATGAGGTTGAGGATGAGGTTGGGGATGAGGATGGGGATGAGGTTGGGGATGAGGTTGAGGATGAGGTTGAGGTTGGGGTTGAGGATGAGGTTGAGGATGAGGTTGAGGTTGGGGATGAGGTTGAGGATGAGGTTGTGGATGAGGTTGGGGATGAGGTTGGGGATGAGGTTGAGGCTGGCCTGGGTGTATGACTGTCCACGTCACCAGAGGTCACGGAATGATGGCGACTATTCACAGGGATCTCACGCATCAGCTGCTCTGTGTGCGTGAGTGCACGCGTTTGCATCGGCTGGAGGGGAGCGGTGGCGCAGCGGTTATCGCACTGTGTTACGAACCCGCGGCCACCACCACCACTTCAATCATGGCCACCACCACTACCACCACCACCACTACCATCACCACCACCACCACCACCACTTCAATCATGGCCACCACCACCACTACCATCACCACCACCACTTCAATCATGGCCACCACCACTTCAATCATGGCCACCACCACTACCACCACCACTACTACCACCACCACTTCAATCATGGCCACCACCACCACCACTACCACCACCACTACCACCACCACCACTTCAATCATGGCCACCACCACCACGACACTCATGACCACCACTACCAAAACAAACACCACTTCAATCATGGCCACCACCATTACCACTTCAATCATGGCCACAACCACCACCACCACCACGACAATCATGACCACCACCACCACCATCATCAGCAGCGGTGTCGCTGCATGCCCCCGGCCTTGCCCCCACCGTGGCCGCGCGGCCCTCCGGGACTCATCGATTGGTGACCCCCGCAGATCTGGCGGGCGGGCGGGGGGGGGGCGATAAAATAAAGCCGCGCAGAGCGATAATAAATAAACAACGAGGGGGGGGGGGCTTTGCGTGCGATATGACTCAGCAACGGGGACACACGCAGACACACGCAGACACACACAGACACACGCAGACGCACACAGACACACGCAGACACACACAAACACAGACACACGCAGACGCACACAGACACACGCAGACGCACACAGACACACGCAGACACACACAAACACAGACACACGCAGACGCACACAGACACACGCAGACACACACAGACACACACAGACACACACAGACACACGCAGACACACACAGACACACGCAAACACACACAGACGCACACAGACACACACAGACGCACACAGACACACGGAGACGCACACAGACACACGCAGACACACGCAGACACACGCAGACACACACAGACACACACAAACACAGACACACGCAGACGCACACATACAATCACAGACGCACACAGTTTATTTCAGTTTCAGTTTATTTATTTTGGTATAGCCCTGTGAGCCATTCGGCTCTTGAATCGGGTGCAACCACAACAAACAAAAAAAACACGAACAAGAAATACATCTTAAAGTGACTATGTGACTGTGCAAACAGAAAATCCATGAAAAAACAGCAAAAATATTCCCGAAAAAAAGCAGCGTACACAAACGCTATGTGCAAAAAATCCCAGTGGGATGTAAGTCAAAGAACAACAACCACAAGAACTTAGATTAAGGCCATCAGTCTAACTCCGTACTACAACAAAACAATCATGTCCAAACCAAAAAACTTTTAAAAATCACCAAAAAATAAAGCCATAATTGCAACGTAACAGTGATCATAGGGACTGTAACCGAATTTTTACAATAAACTACATAAATAACATGTAACACCAAATCCTAGAGCCATAGCTGGCTGCATGAGTTACTCCACAACAATAGAAGCATCAGTCGGAGTATCAAATGTTTCAATGCACCTTTAAGATCAGCACGCTAAATCAAAATACAGATAATACTTTGCAGCGTCATCCGGAGCGAAACATTTTATTTTATTTTACGCCAATGAATATCAGTGGCAGCTAGAGGTATACAACTCCTCTAGAGCAGTTTTGAGAGAAGATCTCATTGGTAGCGATTCAAGTTGCAGTTTATTGGCAATAGCATTCCAGACCTTGGGGGCATCAATAGCAAAGGCCCTTCCTCCAGTTTTTGTACAGCAATAGGGAATCTGAAGCTGGTAAATGAGCGAAGACCTGAGGTGAAATTTGTTCTTTGAAACAGAGAGGAGATCCAGCAGGTAGTCTGCGGATTTTTTTGTAAGTACATCGTGAATAAATAAGATCTGGTGCACAAGCCGTCGAACATTAAGAGATGTTAAGTTTGACCCAATGTAGAGATCACAGTGGTGAGTCCTATATGGGCAATTCAATGCAAATCTTAAGGCCGAGTGATAGATGGAATCAAGCTTCTTCAGTCCAGTACTTGGGGCTGATTTATACACGATGTCACAGTAGTCAAGTAGAGGCAGTATGGTAGCTTTTTATCAATTCCAAACGGAACATTGGGGGGAAGCAGTGCTTGTGTCGATACAGAAAACCAATTTTTATTTTTGTCTTTTTACCAATCTAATCAATGTGATCCTCAAAATTCAATTTTGAATCCAGGATGACCCCAAGATACTTATCGATCTTGACTTGCTCTATTTGATGATAATTTAAGGAATGTAATTGGGGAAAAAATGACTTCCTGCTTTAGTCCTGGTGAGAAGCATAGCACCTTGGTTTTGGAGGTATTCAGGACTAGTTTAAGAGCAACTAGCTGATGTTGTAGTTTGTTGAAATCACCCTGTAGCTTAGCAATCACGTCATCCGGAGAGCGGCCAGCAGTAATCATTATTGTGTCATCTTCAAAAAGATTTATCCTGGAATGATCCAGGTCAGTGCCCAAGTCATTGACATAAAGAGAGAACAAAAGGGGGCCGCACGCAGGCACACACAGACACACACAGACAAACGCAGACACACGCAGACGCACACATACAATCACAGACGCACACAGACAAACACAAAAACAAAGAAACAAAGATCCCCCATATAGCCTTAACAGACTGTAGGGGCAAGTGCTGTTAGCGAGCACCTATGAAGGCCTGAACGGTACACGAGGGGGTGGGTGGCCAGCACCACGCCCGACCGCCTTTGCCTCTCTAGTGGCAATGTTTACACACCGCACCAGGTACTCATTTGAGGCTGTGTCGATCTAGGGGAGGCCCGGGACCGGTTCAGATAATCGTCACTGGTGTTGGCCGTGAGCGGGAATCGAACCCGGGTCGCCAGGTTCATAGCGCAGCGCGCTAACCGCTACACTACCGCTCCCCACAATTTTATCGATCTTGACTTGACAAACACAGACACACACAGACGCACACAGACACATACAGATGCACACAGACACACGCAGACACACAGACGCACACAGACACACACAGACAAACGCACGCCCGCGTGCGCTCGCCACCATAGCCGTGGACACCGAGTCGTGCGCACGTGACATCTTCGCCGAAGTGACGCGCGCGTGCATCAGTGACGTCCTCTGCGCGAACACGCGGTCGGTCGGTCGGCCGGTATAAAATGTGAGCAGCTCGCCGCGCGAATGTGTTCACAGTCGCGCGCGTGCGTGTCCCTTGCCTTTCGCGCGTGCTCGTTGTGGCGAGTGCGTCAATGTGTACGGCTTCGCCTTAAGGTGCACGTAGCCTGGCACAAGCGCCGTGGTAACGTCACCGCCACTTAGTGGCCAATCGCGGTTGCTGTTGTGTCTTCCTGTGTGTTGGGTGTCAATGTTTTTGCGCGTCTTTGTGTAGGTAGTGGTGCGTGCATGTGTCTGTGTGTGTCTTTGTGTGGGAAGTGGTGCTCACGATCATTAAGGACCTTCATGATGGTGAGCGGGCCCGGGTAAAACTACGTGGCCGGGAGTCAGAGCCATTCCCTGTACACCTTTGGGTGCGACAAGGATGTCCTCTGGCTCCCACGTTATTTAACATCTATTTTGACCACGTAGTTCGTGAAGCTTTCAATAGCTGTACCGGGGGAATCTCCATTTGGTACAGATATAATGGGAGGCGGATCAATGCCCGGGTGCGGTCAAGGGATGGCTCCCTATTGCTCAACCACGTTATGTATGCCGATGATTTGGTAATAGCTGCTCATTCAGAGAAGGAGTTGGAGACGCTGCTGCTGAGACTGGAGCGTGACACTAAGAGATGGGGCCTTACCATCAGCCCCACCAAAACTAAGCACCTGCCTGGGTATTTTGTACCATCGGACACTGCACCCCCACAACTCCGAATCGATGATGGGGCAGTTGTGGAGAGAGTGGAGAGTTTCCCATACCTGGGCAGTGTGCTTATGACCGGCTACAGTTCAACAGCAGAGGTCTCACTCCGAATCAGTCGAGCGGCAATAACCTTTTCATCGGTTGCGTAACGCTGTGTGGAAGCTACCTGGTCTGTCGCTCCGCACTAAGCTTCAGGTCTTCTCGGCCACGGTCATTCCCTCCCTTCTCTACGCTTGCGAAACGTGGACCCCCTTAATGGAACATCTTCGCCGGTTAGAAACATTTAGGCTAGCTTGCCTACGATCCATCCTGGGTTTAACCAGGCTGGATTGTGTGAGGAGCTCACAAATCCTTGAAAGATCTGGGCAAGGTCCCATCGGTGAGCTCCTCCGGCGGGAAAGGCTGCGTTGGCTGGGTCATGTAGCCCGCATGCCCAGCCACCGCATGCCGAAACAGCTTTTGTTCGGCCGGATCGAGGGGGCTAAGCGGGCGCGGCACGGGCTAGAGAAGAGATGGAGTGATGTGGTACAGGAGGACGTGGCGCTGAGTGGACTTGCCGATGACTGGTACCAGCGGTGTCAAGATCGGCCTCTGTGGAGGAGGCTCGTGAAGGACGCTACTAGGCACTTGGAGGCAGTCGCCCTCCAACAACAACGGAGGGCGGAGGAGCGACGCTCAGAACAACGAATGGAGCGCCGGGTGGCTGAAGCACAGCAGGTTGGCACAGTAGGGGGCACAGGTGGTGCACCAGCCAGTCATCTCAGTCAGTCGACCCGTGACACCTGGGTCTGCCCCGTGACCTCCTGCCAGCGGGCGTTCGACACTTCACGTGGCCTCAAGGTGCACATGGCCTGGCACAAGCGTCGTGGTAACGTCAACGCCACTTAGTGGCGAATGGCGGTTGTTGTTGTCTTTGTGTAGGTAGTGGTGCGTGCATGTGTCTGTGTGTGTGTCGTTGTGTAGGGGAGCGGTAGTGTAGCGGTTAGTG